ATTTGAATTCAAGCTAAACTCTCCTCTTCCTGGTTTGTGGTTTGGTTTCACAGCATCTTATTCATTGAGCTCTTTTTCTTAAAACAACACATTTATGGCATGTTCGCACAGGATGACTGTGAAGACAAAAACGGCACTCATAGAGACGACTCAGTATCATTTTGGTGCATGCCAAACATGCAAGCTTTAAAGCACAGTGTGTTGTGAAAACTCTTCCTTGCTTGTTCTGCTGAGAATGCAACTTCGGCAAAGGCTGGTAGTCATGGAGGGGAAACTGTACCCTTCCATATGTTGCTGAATGACAATCCCCCAGCCTTACTAAGGGTACGTTGGGCTTGTATTTCAGCAATTTACAGAGACTCACGGGTTTCCCATCTCTGTGTTAGAGAACAATGAAGAAAAAAAAAAGTGAAAACAAAGCAACAACAGAAAAAAAATAGAACAGAAACAGGGGGAAAATGATACTATATGAAAGATGTGGAAAAAGGCTTTAAATCCAAAACATCCTTTTTTCTCAAGCACAAAGTAGCCAGTTCACATTTAATGGAAATGACTCAAGTCTCAAGCAGGGGTCCATGCAACAGAGTTACCCTGAGGGGGAAAAAAAACCACCACTTCCAAAATATTTGCAGCAGCCCTTTCCACCCTCAAACCAATTGCTTCACCTACAGCAGGGGTCTTCAAACTTGGCCCTTTTATGACTTGTGGACTTCAACTCCCAGAATTCCTCAGCCAGCATGGCTGGCTGAGGAATTCTGGGAGTTGAAGTCCACAAGTCATAAAAGGGCCAAGTTTGAAGACCCCTGACCTACAGGATAGGGAGTACCTTGAATTCAAAATACTTTGCCTGAAAACATTTTTCCACACCACTATTTTCTATAGCAGATAAACTAGCTTCATCAAGAAGAGTAGAAGAAACATGGGTTTCATGAAACATCTTGTTGCTGTGCCACTTCAAAGTAACCTTTTTATTGCAGTATAAGAGGAGAACTAAATTTAATTTCCAAGTTAAAACATTTCTTCTGACAATTCGCGAGACGTTTTTTGAAATGGTAGCTCTTGATTTAGGATGTTCTTCTTAGAAACAACAACTGCAGTTTCTTCATACTGCGCTTGCCCCGCTGTTGAGGAGGAAAAGACTCATTTTTTAAAAAATGCTATCATAAATGGAGGACTATAGAGCAGTGTTTCTCAACCTTGACAATTTTAAGGCATGTGGACTTCAACTCCCAGAATTCCACAGCCAGCAATGCTGGCTGTGGAATTCTGGGAGTTGAAGTCCACATGCCTTAAAATTGTCAAGGTTGAGAAACACTGCTATAGAGGGATTCCTCAACTTACAGCCACAAGTGAACCCAAACTTTCCACTACTAAGCAAGGCAGTTGCTAAGTGGGTTTTGTCCCATTACACGACCTTTTTGCCACTGTTATTAAGCGAATCTCTGCTGTTGTTGTGAATCATGCGATTGTTAAATGAATCTGGCCTCACCACTGACTTTGCTTGTCAAAAGGGGATCACATGACCCCAGGACACTGCAACCATCACAATATTGAACCAGTTGCCAAGCGGCTGAGTTTTGATCACGTGACCACGGGGATGCTGCAACCTGTGAAAAATGGTCATAGGTCACTTTTTTCAGTCTGTTGTAAAGTTCAAATGGTCACTAAATGAACTGTTGTAAGTTGAGGATTACCAGTATTGCTGTGCTTGGTGAAGGGAAAATAAATACTTCAATCTGGTATCAACATCACACAATGATTTTCTGCACTAATAACACAACAAACAAGATGTCCTGCTGGTTTCTCTTATTGCTACAGCTGTAGTTTAAATGCCGGCTGCTAACAGGATTCCTTAAATCCTGAGAATATTTGCAGTTTCTCAGAGAAGACGGGTCAATCGTGAGATCCTTGAACACCTGCTAGACCTATTAAGGACAAAGGATCTCTGTGAATGACCACAGAGTCTTCTCACAAGAGTTACCAGAACAACTGGCTACTTTTTAGGGCTGAAATGGCTCTTGGTTTTTTTTGACAGAACTTGTAGGAAGGACAAGAAGTCATAAGTTCCCAAGATAGTCCTTAAAATAAGATCTAGATCAGTGTTTACTTAGCTGGGCAACTTCTGCATGTTTGGATTTCAACTTCCATAATGGCTAGCAGTTGTCCAAGTTGGGGAACATTGTCTAGATCAGTGGTTGTTTTTTTCAACCCTGCAACTTTTAAGATCCGTGGGAAAAAAAAAAAAAAAAAAAAAAAAGATCCGTGGACTTTTTTTTTTTCTTTTTTTCTTTTTTCTTTTTTTTGATTTAATAATGGTTGAAGGAGGTGGACTTATTCTTAATGATATATTTGATAAATAATTGAATGATAACTAAGTAACTGAAGTTGTAAACCTTACTAAGGGATTAAAATGATTTCTTATAGGTGTAGTTTGATGAAATGATAGAATTTACTTGTTAACTTTATGGAAGATGGGAATNTTTTTTATAGGGTAGTTTTATGAAATGACAGAATTAATTTGTTAACTTTATGGAAGATGGGAAAAAAAAAATTTTTTTTTTTCTTTCTTTTCTTTTTTTTTTGTATAAGTAAGGGATGGTGTTAAACTATCTTGCTGAAATGGTAAAGATTTTGGGTATTTGAAGAACTAACTAAATGAATAATTTTTATTAATACGTAGGAGATGGATTGTTTAAGTTTAGACTTTGGAGTTAGAGATATTAATATTTGTTTACTTGTATTTGAATATTAGCCTAGGTTGGTTTGGGAAGTCCGGAGGGGTGGGGGGATGGGATATAATATTGTGTAATATCTGTGATGTATTTCTTTTTTTTTTGTGATAAAAATAAAAATTTTATATTGAAAAAAAAAAAAAAAAGATCCGTGGACTTCAACTCCCAGGATTCCCCAGCCAACAAGTCTGGCTGGGGAATCCTGGGAGTTGAAGTCCACGCATCTTAAAGTTGTCAAGGTTGAAATACACTATCTAGACCAGTGTTTCTCAATGCTGGCTGTGGAACTCTGGGAGTTGAAGTCCACATGCCTTAAAATTGTCAAGGTTGAGAAACACTGATCTAGACAGACTTAACATCACTCATCTCTTACTCTTAGACTTAGGAATTGTTTGAACTATATAAGACAATTTCTTAAGAGCTGTGAGCAGAAAACATACTCACATATAAGCACATTCTGAATTCCCATTTCCATTCTAGGACTTGTATTGTTCTGTTTGAACACTCGTCGGTACAGCCTTACAATTGTTGTGGAAAAGTTGTAGAGCTGCATGCAAGTAGAGTTACAAATGATACTTCAGGGACATGCCTCTCAGTGGGAGATTGTATGACTTCAGATCCAATCCCTATAATTTCTGTTTGAAATCTCATACACTATGTATAGGTTTTGGCAGGAGAAAATAATTCCACATATGAATCAAACTAAGTCAGAGCCACATAGTCTTTGGTACATGCAAATTAGTCATGTGAATTAATGTGAAACTGGTTATGGGTGGCTGAATACACAACATTCTTGACTGGACAGACCTGGTGCAGAAGAACAAATACATTTCATTATTGCTGGCTGGCTGCAATTGAAAAAAAAAAGGTGAAAATTTGGAGCTGGGGACTCCGCAAACATAGGTGCTGATACTATTGTGCAGCTAGCATAACTGCTTGCTCAAAATTGGCTCAAACCTATAAATCTCGTATTAAACCAAGTGCAAAGTAGTCACAGAGCCTAAAAATATTGTCTGTGAGGAAGCACCTACACTAAGGTGAGCGACCTACAACCTAGAAATTGGACTGTCTTTGTTTTTCTTTAAAAAAAAGTTTTGCTTCTCATCCAAGAAGCTTCTTTACTTCTGCAAGTTCTGAAGAAGCTTCTTGGATGAGAAGTGAAACTTTTTCAAGGAAAAAAAAAACCCCAAGAAAGTCCAGTTGCCTTTTGAAAAAGCACCCTTGGGACATCTTTCTTGTTGTTGTCATTGTTGATAGGGGCAACATCATCTGCTAGGTTGTAGGTCCCTCGCCTTAGTGTACGTGTTTCCTCATGGACAATATTTTTAGGCTCTGTATGATTCAGAATCTCTATAGACATCAAAAATGATGAGCTCAAGTTTAACATCTGCTAGTAGTCTATAGGCTCCCCACCCAATTCAGACCAAGAAGGCAGGACAGGTGAATTAACCATTTGCTGTATTCAGATAAGCACCGTGTGTGTGTGTGTGTGTGTGTGTGTGTGTGTGTGTGTGTGTGTGTGTGAGAGAGAGAGAGAGAGAGAGAGAGAGAGAGAGAGAGAGAGAGAGAGAGAGAGAGAGAGAGAGAGAGAATTTGTGTGTGTAATTCCAGAAACTTTAGAAATTTCAGCATCCTCCGAGGCATGCAGTGAAAGGTCCACATTGGGCAGTGTAGGTAACCTTCTCCCATCCTTGGCACAGTACAACTGTCCAACAATGGTGATTACCAATTAAAGTATCATAAATGTACATCGGCATCATCATAACAAAACAACAAGAGTCAAGCACAAGAAATACTTAAACCACATGGAACTGCCCATTAAATGTTTCCTACTTCTGCATATACATAATATACAAGTTACCTTGGGCACCAAGTCCTCAGAAAAAGTCTTTCCTGGCACCCTGGGGACCGGGAGAAAGTCTAGAGCAGGGGTGTCAAACTGCCGGCCCGCAGGCCGGACGCGTCACGTGGAAGCCGCGCCCACCCCATTGCCGACAATGGCAAAACTGTCCCGATACGTTGCGTGATGTCACGTGACGTCGCAGGTTTGACAGGTCTGGTCTAGAGCATCTGCTTTGTTTACATTTATTTTATTCTATCTGGAAAAAAAAAAACCTTAAAAATGTCCTCAAGGCCGTTTTACCTCTTTTTCTTGGAAACACAGCCCTTCTTTAAGGCACATATTTCATAAGCTTCAGAGAAAAACAGAGAAAGAGGGTGATTTAGCCACATCTGGAGACGTGTTGCAGTCCTCCAGGTCCTTAATAACGTTGAGTCCTAAATGAACTCTCCTCGGAAGGGCAGGATGCTACGGCTTTGCTCCTGCCAGCGATAGCGAAGCTGGGAGAGTGCCTGGCTGTCCAGAGTTTCAAATTCAGAAAAACCCAGCTGGTTCAGGATCTCGTAGACACCCGCCTTGGCTGCCACCTGAAAAGCAGAAAAACCAGGGATTGGGAGGGAAGGGGGGAACACACAGAGAGAAAGATGGTCTTAATTTTATTTATTTTTTTGAAAAGAAGAGAAAAGATACCTAATGTTTTTTTAATACAGGTAGTCCTCGACTTACAACTTTTCATTTGGTGACCGTTCAAATGACTGGTTTTCACACTTAGGACCACGGTAGCATCCCCATGATCACATGAACAAAATTCATATGCTTGGCAACTGGCAGGTATTTATGACAGTTGCCGTGTCCTGGGGTTATTAGCGACCATCTGACTTAACAACTGCAATGATTCACTTAACCACTTGTGGCAAGAAAGGTCATAAAATGGGGCACAACTCACTTAATGACTGTCTGCTTAGCAACAGACATTTTGGGCTCAATTGTGGTCATAAGACGAGGACCACCTTGTACCAGCATGCAAAAAGGAGGAAACTCATTTGCAGTTAGCATCGAAACAAGTACACAGTTGTGTGTGTGTGTGTACATATTTGTGTGGGTCTGTCAAAATGATTAAGGACACATTTTGAAGGAATTCCTTACTGACAGAAGAGAATATTTGTGATATTTTATCTATTGCATTGTTGAGGCTACCTAGTTTGCTAATGAAATGTCTGCAAGAAACCCACCAAGCTCAGAGAGCACCAGGGACCTACAAAGTTCCTTACTCTTTGCTAACGTACTTTCAGATATATTTGCAATGCTCCAATCTATGCATTTTCCAGCCACACATCCACACACTTTGATTCACGTGGGCTGAGTTCTCTCTGATGTTTTGAGCTAGTGGGTGCAATCTGAAATCTGACAGTGTTGAGTGTGCTGGAGGGCAGGGGCAGAAACCTATCCCTGTAGTAACTCCCTGCCTGGTCCAAAGGACTATTTCCCATCCAACCACTCAGTGAGTTGAAAAGAGAAGGTCACTTGTCCAGGCAGGGCTCTACAACGCAATGCCCCTTTTTTGAACTCGCTGAAGTCCTTCCCCAAAAGAAGCTCAACTGATGATGCTTATAGTGAAGGAACCTGGCCAAAAAAGCCTGTCGTGAATGCCAAGTCACATATTTGCCTCCACCAAACAAACTGCAAACGATCCCTTCCAGTGGAAGGCATAAGAGCAGACTTTCTCCAAAGCAAAATCAACAGGGGAAGCTGTGGGCCTCCACATCCATCATCTCTGTAAACTGGGGGCTTATATCAACCCACTAGGGTTAAAAGGCTTGCAAAAGGACGTAAAACTTAAGTTTATTTCTGCATTTTAAAAACAATTAGAGTTTAATGAAATTAAAATGTATATTTGCAGTTGTCCAGTTATTTGTCTCTCAGTATATTCATTCTTCAGTCCAGCATTAAGAAGGTTAATGGTGAGGCAAAACAAATGGAAAAAATGTAATAACAATGGTTTATACAAGTAAGAAAATGTTTCAGGGCTATTTCCCCCCCAGCCCACATCACGTAAGTACAAAAGTAATCCAAAAACCATTTGGGAGATTGTTTCATCTAAATATGCTGCAATAAGACAAACATGACTATGTTTATGTTTTTCTCCTATCAAATAATTCAAAATGCAGTTCTTATTATTTCCCCTGTAACTGTTATTAATTGGCTCCTCCGCACCAAATATTTGTAGCTGCTTTGCAAAGCGAGTCTCTGACCAGTCAAGAAAACATCCCCCAAAATTGCATGTATTGAGGAAAAAAAGATCTGCAATCCTTTAAAAAAAAGGCTGTTTAAATTGCTTTACTTCCAAGAAGTGTATATATATATATGTATACATCTTTGAGTGGATTCCAATGAAGAATGGGCAGTTTGGTGATCAGAATTTGGCTTGGCCATGCTGACATCATGATTATGGAAAAGATGTCTATCACTGCTGCCATATAACTCTCAGGAGTCTAATGATATACATAAATGTCAAATGTTCAAATGTCTATAGTAGACAGACACAACAGAGTATAAAAATCCAAACTACCAACCTCATTGGAGCAATATAAACATTTTTATTGCATGTTTTCAACTAACTAAAGCCCCTCAGAAGATCTCCTATCTTAACTTGTTTCCAGAAGACCAAGGAACACAGAATAAATCTAGCTTTCCAGGAAGACTGTTATGTATTATATCATGATGAAGAACCTTCTCCTGACCTCAGATTAATAGGAAATGGAATGTCTTGCAATTCCATTTCCCTATAACCTCACTGTTACAATTCCTAACTAGGGGCCTATGTATGGATGATATTCCATGAAAACTTAGATCATAATAATTGGTTATTCGAAAGTGCTGCAAGAGTCTTGTTGTTTTCCTTTTTATGGAATGAAACCATTTTTTCCTTGTTAAACTGAGTTAAATTTATTGTTTGTTTACGTAACAGTTCTCATAACTTGCTCCAATGCCAAGAGCCTCTGGGCTGCATAGATCAAACAAAAGGAAAACAACACCATCATCATAAATAGTTAAATCCAAATAAATATCAAAAACAAAATATAATAGTTAAGGAAAGCAGGGCAAAAGGGGCCCACAGTATTCAGCCAATTGTAATAATACTGGGATGTAACACTGGGGTACCAGTTCTTGTACTGTATTTTGTATTGGAGTTTTATCCTTGTAAGCCCACCAGTGTCACTGAGAGTAAGTTGGGAAGCCAAACATTTTTTCTTAATAAATATATATATATATTTCTTTTTTCTGCTTCATGTTTTCTGGAAATAGGTTGGGAGTGTTATTATCAAACAATTAAACTCTTACATCATATGATTAATTTCGGAAATAACTGGTCAGGTTTACGAAGCCTAATTTATAATACGTCCATGAGTTTTTTCTAAATATTTTAAATCAACCTTTACTAGTCTGAGAGACCACTTTTTAATATTTTTAATGAAATCAGGAGGCTATCACATAGATCTCCTGGAGATTATTATTATTCCCAATATTCTGAGAATTCAGAGTATAGGTAGTCCTCATTTAAAAATGCTAACTGGGACTGGAAACTACATTGTGAAGCAACATGTACTTTGAAAAATCACATGACCAAACGCAGTTCCAGCAATCCCAGTTGGAGTCATTAAATGAAAACTGTGTAGTTAATTAAGTAAGTATCCACATGACGCAATTTGCGATTTCTTACAAGCTTCTCCAATGATTTTGTTTGTGGGAAGCCAGTTGGGAAGGTGGCAAATTTCAGTTTCATGATCACAGGATACAAAAATGTCCATACATATTAAGTTCAGTTATAACTACTATTTGTTCAGGTTGGTCATATGTTTGAACAATTGCTGCATGAATGATTATTAAATGAAGACCCTCTGTAGCTACTGCATATGGATCAATTATAAATGTGACCATTTTATTGATCTGCTATGAATGTTGGAAACAAACTCTCAGTTTTATGGTTACAAGGAAAAAATGGTTACTCCCGTGCAGATCAGAGAATATACCGAAAAATACTTCAATTTCACTAGAAGATTAATGAAAGACACTTATGTGATTACCAATGTAATATGCAACTGCCTTTTCATTAACGAAGAACTTGCAGCTTGATGAAATAATGTAGAAATTATACGTTTGTTGTTTGTTCTTTAGTGTGTATTCCATTTAGTTGCAGGGTCCATTTCTTTTATACTATATTTGCCTACTTCTTACAGTGAAGTTTATCAATAACAAGGTCCCACTCATCCCCATTGTCTTGTCTGCAGAATCTAACACAGATTAGACCTAAAAGGGAGTGACTATCCCAGGGTTACCTTGCTGGCTTCTGAGATTTAATGGAGTAGAACCTGGGTCTCCCCAATCCCAGTCCAGCACCCTAGACACAACTTCATGGTGGCTCTCCCTAGAAAATATATTCTTAAATCAGATAAGCCTCTTTGGGAGGACATGGGACTACAGATGTGCAATATCAGCCCCTTGATAGGCAGGTAAGATAAAGAAATTCAACTTTTTGTATTTATTTAGCATACGGTGATGTTGTGATGTTACTTTAGCCAGGAGACTACAATGTTAAGACAAAGTAGTTATTTGGCTGCTGCTGATTGCTAGTTCGTTTGGTTCATGCTCACACGCTATACAGAGTGCACCACAGAGAGTGAACTAACTTCACACTCAGATGGATAATGGCATTCTGAAGCATCATTCGGGACTTTTCCCACCACCAATGTCACATCGCATTTGGGCAGGTCCAGCATCGGTTGAATCCGTACTGCTGCTTGAAGCGCCATTTTTCCCACTGAAGTGGTACCTATTTATCTACTTGCATGTAACATGCTTTTGAATTGCTAGATTGGCAGAAACTGAGGCAGGTGACAGGAGCTCACCTTGTCATGCGGTGCTAGGTCACGAACCACTGAAACACAACCTTCTCCAGACCTCTTTAAGCCACTGAGCCTCACTCAACTTTCTGTATCAGGCTTTGAAGAACCGTAAAAGAGTTTTACAGTTTAATAGAAGAGTGCATGTTGCATTTCACTTTGTATTCCCAGGACTCCAGAAAGGGATGGGAAATATAAACAGTGGGGCGGTTAAACTGGTATCTTCCAGGTGCTTTGGAGTACAATTACCAACATTCTTGGGCCACTTATAATGCTGTCTTGAACTAACTAGAATTGATGTTCAAAACATCTGAAGAGCACTATCTTACCTTTTCCTAATTAGATAGTCCAGGGCTTTTTAACCAGTGGTACGGGTACCACCTGTGGTACATTGGCACCTGCCAGGTGGTACGCGACCATCCCAGAAAAGTGGTAGTGGGGGAAGGGAATGAGCTGAACCACTGGCAGCACCGCACAAGCCTGAGCGAGAGATGGCTGGAGCTGCAGGCCTGTAGGGCTCAGTGGAAGCATCAGGATCAGCGCCAGGCTCCAGCTGGAGCTCGGTGCTGATCCTGGTGCTTCTGCTGAGCCCAGAAGAAGCGCCGATCAGCTGGAATGGTGCAGCATCTCCAGGGTCTTGTGATTTATATTCACATGCTTGGCAACTGATTCATATTTATGACAGT